CCTAAATAATAGGTTTGAACATTGTGTCTCATTATTATTTGATAAAAATTTATCCCGAATAAACTCAATAAACCAATGTTGTGAAGAAAAATTCATCTGGACAAAAATAGTCTAATCTGTAGTGATAGGAAGTGCCGGTTTTAAAAATCAGTATTGAGAAATCTTCAGTAGAAGTTAAAATTTCTAGATGATTGCCAAATTTTAATCACATGATTATTAAGACTTATCCTGTGCTATGATTGGCTTGTTTAATTTCAGGAACTCCTAACCGGAAAGAGGGATGACGTTAACCAACTAATTAACTTTAAACGGCCTAAGTGTTTAAAAAAGATTATTTAAACATTTATTGTGAGTAGTGGCTTGTCTTTAGACGGATTTTTAGTGTTTTGATTACAAAGTTTCTGCATAGATGCTTGATGAAACCATTTTTGCCATTAACGAATCTATAAGGTTTTGTCAAGTTATGTGAGTTTCATCAAGCATCATTAAGTTTCTGTGAAAGGAAGCCTTGTGATATGTTTTCTCTATCTTGTTGATATAGTATTGTTTTTTGAACTCTAAGTTTTGAGTTAGTTGCAAGAATTATTTTTATTAAGAGAGACACCCAAATTCTGCCTGCTTAGCAAATCTGAAAAAAAGAATATGAAAATTGAACTTATCATATGACGGGTTATACATGTGATCTGTAAATATATCAATATATTTAAGTTTGATTAATATGCATTTTGATTTTATAAAAATCAAATATTTAACCGTTAACAACTTTTAAAGTTCACAAATGAATTGCATTATCAATTTTCTCATTCAAGTTGCTGTAACTATAGCGGTTTTGTTGATTGTATCAGCAATAATTATTAGTCAAGACAAGCCAGATACAGATAAATTAAACTTGCTACTAAAGTTTTTGTTTTAAAGATGATAACGACTCAACTTTTTTACTGAATACTTTAAATCATAACAATAATCATTACTAACACAAGTATCAGAATTATTGAATATTCAAGAAGTCAAAATGAAACAATTTTAACTCAAGAAGTAATCAAAGCTGCTAAGGTCATAAAATTTTTGCTTATAGCATTAATTTACTATGCAAAAGTACTTTATTATTATTATAAAGAGCAATTTGTCATGAACATATTCTAGTTTTGAGCAATTCTTTTACCAAATAATTTTTGATTCAAAATTGATTATAAATTGCAATAGTTATTAATAATTGAAATTAATAAAGAGCAAATTTTTATAAACTCATTAACCTTGAAGATTTATTTCTAATTGTTAAAATGTGCATCAATTTTATTTTACTGATGTCCTATTATTGTTACAAAACAATTATTAATCCTAAAAGCAATATTTTTTACTCAAGAATTTTTATAATTTGCACGCCACTTGTTGATATGCTTGGCAAAATACTTTCCTAATTTTAAAATAGGAAGAATCGACACAAACTGGCTAAAAATTTTTAAATTCACTAAAATAGGTTCACTATTATAAGTAAATTCTAAAATCTTAAACTGCATGTTACGAATAATGATAAACACACAACTATTGCTAAACCAAAGGCAATAATATATCCATATTTCTACAAGAAACAGTAGTTGATGTTAGTGCAATTTGAAATACATTGATCAGTAGTTGTATCTTGATTAAAGGTTAAGTTTTGGCTAGTGAATCGATTAGAATTAATTATCTGGTTATTAATTTGAGAAACGGATATATTTGTTTGCTTAGAAAAATTACTCTTCATGCAAGTTTCACAAATATTGATACTCGATAATAATTTTGATTAAAAAATTTCTCCTCTTGCAAAAATCACAAATATTGATTTGATGGATGCTCGATGATTCTTGCCTTTGATTAGTAATTGCGTTGGTCGGGTGAGAATTGGTAGTAGTAGCATTATTTTGACTATTTTGACTGATTTGCTGG